GCATTTAAATTTCAGAATTACTTGAATTGCATTTGTGGAAATATTTGTGCCGAACATAAATAATATTACATCCACTAAAAAAAATCAGTCATAAGCTGTTCGCATTGGTATTCCTTTTTAAAATAATTTCCTCATTTCACTATTTCAGCTTGTAAAATGTATTCATCTCTAATAAAATTACAGTACATATAAAATTTTGTTTTCTGTTGACATTTCGAGATTGATATTTTCTAATTACTCTTCTTTCAGTTTGTTGAAATATCTATTCACAAATAATGAGTTAGTAAAATGATTTTCAAATTTATATATCACATACATTATTTTGTGTTGTGAATGTTTATTTTGACTGGATTTTTCGTTTCCCTCTTGTCAACTAGTAGCATTTAATTTTTAGTTTGCTTTCAAAATTGCTTGCCTACCTGCTTTCTTCTTTGCTCTCTTCCTATTTCTTTATTTTTTTCTCGTACAGTCCCTCCCATTCTTCTTTCCTCGTTCCCTTTGTTTCCTTCTCCACTTTCCTTCCGAATTTCTGAATCTCTCTAAATGTTTTATTAGTTCATCAGTTTTGTTAGTCTGTAGCTTGAATTCATAATAGTAAACTAGCTAATGATTCCTAATTGTACAGCGTACTGCTTCTTGACTTTCCTCTCCTACATTCTTGAGTTTGTAATCCTACAATAATTCTTTACTTATTTTCACATTACAATATGACAGTGATAAGAGTAATTACACTCTGACTTTTTCAAGTTTTCCTCTTGTAATAAGTGGTTGTAGTGCTATGTATAATATAGCCGTTGTTATTTTGTTACATAGGAAACTCAAATCATATTAGTACCTGTATTGTAAATTGCATTCAGATTTAAATTTGTGTATATTATGTACAGATATAGTAATATTAAGTATGTATTTGACAAGTTTTTGAACTCTGTATATTCTATTTTCAACAAAAATGGTCTAAGTGTTAAAATATATTTTCTAAAGAAAATTCAAATGCTTTTTTCACTATGCACTTTCAAGTTATTTTAAAAATGATTTGCAAGTGATAGTGATATTATTCTATTCATAACTGCAATATCAAGTTCAAAAAATCTTATCCATTCTTTTAAAGAAAGACGGACTGAATTTGCAGAGCTTGTAAAGTAAAATTCATATTGGGCTTCCACTAATTACTAAAGGGTTACTTCTGAAGCTCGTGGTGAGAGTTGTAAAGCAAGGAACAAATTGTTTTATTCCAGTTGTATACTTGTTTCATATTTGGCATGTGGTCTCTTCTACTTCATAAAATAATATACATCTTCTTTGTAATTGACCATTTTTATTTCTTATGGGTGGTGGTACTTCTGTGCTTGGGACCAGATGTTGACCATATGTTTGAGTAACTGCTTGCATGTGTGTGTGCGCATTGAATATATTTTTGTTTTTTTAATTTTTGTTGTTGATATTTTGTGTTGTTAAATGTTGCACATTTGTGTACATAGTGGACAACTACCTCAGTTGAGGATTTTGATGCGAGTTATAAAATTAGAAGAAGCTACATGCCTGTATAGATTTTTGTGACTGTAAATGATCTTGCAAATATTTACCCGTTTGGTATCTGAGCATGTTACACAATACATAATCATAACACCAAATGAAAAATGAACTTCACTAACTTCATACATTCACCATGCATATCTTTTCAGTACACCTTGCATCTTATGTATCATCTCATAGCATTTTACTAAATTGCCAAAATTCATGAATGATAGTGAGAGACATTAGTATGCATAGTTCAGTTTGTGTGCAATAATGCATTTGACATTTTGATGTCACATATTTATCATGCAAATAAAATGTGGTGGTACTGATTTTTTGAATTTATACTAAGGGTTACAAATTGACATAACGTCATCTTGCCCTTCTTTTTGTCATTTAATTTGTATGAGTGCTAACGATTTTTGTATGTATGTAGTGGCAAATATCTGGAGAATCTGAATCATTTTAATATTGTGTAATTTTAAAACAAAATTATACTTTTTTCTTTTTTTGCCATTGCCTTCAAAGCATCATCCAGTGATTTGCGTTCTTCAAAAAAAGAAAGTAAGAAAGAAAAACAAATGAAATGTATTCTACATCTCAATTTAAAAGAAATATGAAATTTTGTGTTGTGTGGGTCCATGACAATTGGACTAGTAATCAAAGCTCAGCATTTTAATTTAACTGAAGCACTTATTTTGTTTGAGTGAAGCCACTGTAATTATAGTGTGAATTGCACCAATGATGTATTTGTAGAAAGAACTTGTAATAATATTGTTCAAATGTATATTTGTTGTTATAATAACTGAAGTGTCATTTGCTGCACTACATTTCAAAGTATGTTGTTATGCAGTTATAGACATTGATTAAGCTGAATGAATAAATATTTATGCCAGCAGACTTTCCATGTTTTGGGATTTAGAACTTCTACATCAATTATCACCATTACCACTATCCCAAATAGCCCTTATGTGCAAAATTGTGGACATAAAATGTGAACATTTCCTTTCAAAACATTCTCTATTAAGGGGATGAGTGCATGTAAAATATATGCAGCTTTTTTGTAATTTGATATACTAAACGTTTCTGTTCTGCTGCATTAAGAAGCAGTTTAAAAAAAGAGACAATCAAATAAATACAACTCTCAAAACATTCCTTATTTTAACATTAAAATGAGTAACATTGTTATGTTACTTCAGAAAAGATGGTATTTTTAATCATATTTAATTGTAGTAAATAATTCAAAATTGTAGGAAATGTTATTTATATGATTAAGTCAACAAGCAGTCCTGTGCAATAGATCTCCAATTATCCTAAATAAACAGGGATTGGGCTGGCATACTATGGGGAGAAGTGCAGTCTGTGCTCGGTTTCTTGAGCTTTGGATTCTGTGTCCTAACTTCATATTAAGGTGAATTATGATATCGATAGCAATGAGTCATTTTAGCAAGATTTGGTATGAAAGAATTCACTCCTCTGTTATAAAAACTATTTGCGGAAGCAAATCAGCTATGGATTTGGGCTACAATTCGTAGTGTTGTACTTGAAAGAATAAACTGAAGCGAGGAAATGGAGAAATATAATTTGAATTTCTATATTTCCTACAGAGCTAAAGAAAACGTGCACAGGCTACATTTATGCTTAGAAGCAAAAAAGGGGCCATTTCAACATTTGCATATTTAGTCTTTTAAAATTGTACAGTCCAATGTTGGTTAATACATAATGTGTTATGTTAATATATAACATGTTAAAACCAATATTATGTTCCATTTTTGATGCTTAGTATAACTCTAATTGTATTGAAACGGTTATGCAGCAGAAAATATTTTATTTGGCACTTATACTTGTATATCGATCTTTTAATGTTATCTAAGCAGTGTTGTAAAAATTATGTATGTATATAGTATGTGCATTCTTTGTAGGGAGTTGTTGAAACAATTATTGGTTAAAAATATTGTCCTGCCCTTGAATAAGCCATTAAAAATAAACAAAAAACAAGAAAACTTAATTGTGTATTCAGATCACTTACATAGATAACTTGATGTTTGACTGATTTGACAGACCCTATCATTTTGTTTAGGTTAACATCAGTCAGTGGCACATTATTTATCTTCAAAGGATGTACAATTTATTTCAAATGGAAAACTGCATTAGAACCATTTTTCCCCTTCATTTACTGTTAATTTGTGGTTAGCTAACACATTTAAAACATCTGAAATTGTACTAGTAATTGTTTCTTTATTGCAAAGAAAATTCGTATCGTTAGTAGAGAGAACTGATCTTCCATTTCAATTAATTTACATATAGTAGGAAGGAAATAAGTATAGTAGAATGAAAACAACGTTTACAGCACTATTTTGACTGTTTATCACATCGAAGGTGCCATTTTGTTTTGTCTTGCCAAGTGTCTTGTAAAATATTTCTGCTTTCCATTTGCCACATTCTTCCATTTCACTCTTAGCTTAACTCTTTTCTTCCATCTTGCTGATGTCTTCCTGGATCCATCCTTTCTATATTGTCTTACCAGTCTTTCCTTTCAAAAACATCACTTAAACATCCTTCTATATTTGTGAATAAATAATATCCCTTCATTACAGTATCCTCAGTAAAACATGAAGTAAAACAGACATCAGTCATCGAAAATATTTAACTTAAATCTATGGAATTAAGTTTAATAAATAGATATAGAAACTTGTAAAAACTGTAAGGTTGACATTAAAAAATAATTGTGGATTTTCCTTTTCTTTTCCTCAAATGGGTAATTTTTTTTTCACCAAAGCTAGTTTGGATAATTGGAGTTCTATTATACTTTGTTATAGAGAGCAACCTAACATAAACACAATTGAACTGACACAATCACCCACTTCCTTAGAAATAAGAAAGTGATGGCTTCTCTTAGATCAGCAAACACTGTTCATTCATGGTGTATTTTAACGTAAAGTCTTGTTTATTAATTTTTGCGCAAATCGTCTTTTGAAATCCTTGTTCCTTTGCAAGGAACAATTTTGCACAGTGTAATCTTAGTGTCATTATAGTAATTGTTATAAATTATCATTATTAGTATTATTATGTTTATTATTATCATTATTATTATTATGATTATTATTATTATTATCATTATTATTATTATTATTATTCATTAAGTTGCATCCCAAGTGCATTCTTGGACGTTGGTTTAACTTTGTTTGGTATAAGCTAGATTTCCAGGATGTAGTTTGCAAAATGATTCTGGTTACCAATTTATCATAGTTCCTATTTACGATGTTTTAACATATGTTAAGTGGCATGAAAAAATTAACAAAGCAAAATTATTTCATATCGGGTGCCATGTTTTTTATTATTAGTAATACCAATTTTTTATTTGAGAAAATGTTATGTTTGTTCTCTGCATGTATTGTTTTCTCTGTACTGATATGTTTAATTGTTGAAATGTGTATTTTTTTTTTAATTTTTTATTTTATTTTATTTTTTATCTTGTTTTGTAGGAGACCTGTCCCCAATATTCCTCCTAGACTCCCGGACAGGCCAAACATTCCAGCTCGACCAAATTTCTAAACGCAGCTCGTCAGTCAAGAAGTCATGTCTTCTCATTGCAAGATAATGAAGTAAGGCACTTTCTCCAGAGAAGTTTTACGGGTAGTTAATCAAGTGAAATCATTTCTGGTAATGGTTTGAAAAAACTTAATTGTGCACTTAACTTTCTATGCTGGAGATTAAAAAGAGGAGAATCTTGCACTTAATATTCAAAAGCTTTGCATAAAAATGAGTAAGTTACCTATTAAATAAGTGTTAAAACACTTTTTACCAGTTATAAATATTTTCTTCAAGCGGCAAGTGGAAATGATTGTAATAGAGTGGTTTGAAAATTTGGTTAGTCATTTTGATAATTTATGACAAAGCGAAACCCCAAGACATATACTTTGAAAATCTCTCTTCTAGGTATTCTCCTTTACTGTGAAACTATCTGAAAAGGATAGTTTATCAACTAAAAGTAAAACTGGGTGTCTGAAATACTTCAGTTTCCCATGATATTTATGGAGTTAAAATAATGATTTTTGTATTGATCAAAAGCATGAAATCAGTGATTTTTTTTAAAATCTTATTGGTTTGTATCTGTGTTAAGTATTTTATTTCTGTTTACAGATTATGTCTAGAAAGTATTATGCATTTGTGACAGCAGGAAAAGTAATATTACTTTTGCTTGTTATTCCTAAAAATATTTCCTTTGTTTACGTAAAAGGCTCTCTGTATATTTTTAATATATTTATATGATGTGTGTTTGAGTGTATGCTTTGGAATGAGTGAACGAGTCTTTGGAAATTAGTGCAGACTGATGTTTTAAGAGTATTTGTTTTATTCACATGAAAAGGACACTTGAGTTAAGGATTGAGGAGAATATTATGTTAATATCAATCTTATACTTTTTAAAAAAGGATGTATTTAATGTTTGTTATATATACATATATGATGCCTGATCATTTTTCAAGAGAATATCATGTCAAACAACTTACTAGAATAAATAATTATTTAAGTTTTGTCCAATATCCTTATGGTATCTGGAAGCGCAATTAGCATTTCAGTGTTCATAGAAATGATGAATATTGTGTTTAAAGATTTGTCTGCAGAAAGTATCCATTTTTCAATTAAGACTCATATAGTGGAGAAAAAATTGAAGGCCTAATTGTTGATCATGAGAAGGCAAAATCACTGCCACCTCCCGAGGAAAAACGTGCACCACACGTAAGGACTAATGACCTTAGCCGTTGATGTGCCTGGAATCGCTGATCAATCAATAAGACGGCAACTGTAATAACAGTTTTGATTTTGAGAAAAGTGGGGCCATATGACAGGATGAACGAACAAACCATTTGAACGAATCGGTTTTCATGGACATTAGCCAACTAAAATTTTGCCATCATGCTCACTATAATTTTCTTTTCTTTTCGTCTTTCCATTTTTTCTTTTCTTTATCCTTCAAAGAATTGTGAAGAAGTGAAAATCTTTCATTTCAGAAGTTTGTAACCTTTCATTGTCTGAGTAATTTTTTTGTAATTTGTTTAATTAATTTCTTTGATGGTTTGAAACAAAAAACACATTCCTCCACATACATTGGTGGTAAAATAAAATTCGATAACAATTTTGTGTACTCTTTGAATCCTATAATCAGTATTTTTACTGTTTTCAAAACTTGGTGTCATTCAAGATATGATTTTGTATTGCTTTTGATTAAAGAACTCCTTAATAATCGTACTCGAAATGCCATTTGGAATCAATGAATAGCAAACATAGGGAAATTTTGAAAATTAAAGGTGTGAATATTAAAAACCCTTTCAATATTTAAATCTTAATGTATTTTTTATTATTACTAATAATATAATTTTGATTTAATATTTATATATATTTGAATATTAAAAACCCTTTAGAATAATAATATACTGTTACTTGTGAATGAAAAGTTAAGTAGGAGAACTTTATATTTGGCTACATGTTCCCTTTTATCTGACATCTGAATATGACTAATGATTATTAATTTTATGATATTGGATGAAAATATAAATATTCTCTTTGTTTAATAAATTCACTGCTTAAGTCACTATTCTAATTAAATAACATTTTATCCACTTCTGATTCTTTTTGCTATTCCTTTATTTAAGGCATGATGGTGTGAATCTTATTTATGATGCACAAGGGTATTGGGAGAAGATAAAGGGAATGTACCATTAGGAGAATGTGCCATTGAGCTAATGCTATGAATTGTATATGACCAGTAATAGGTCCACCTTCTCATTGTATTACAATAAATAGCACTTACATCCCCTAGAGGCTCAAAATTTACAAAAGTTTCATTGTTCAAAAGGGAATGTTGAAGCATAATTGATAATATAAAGTAAATTATTTGTTGCAAATTAAAAATAACAGTTTTCATTACAATGCTCATTCATAGCCAAATCTTTTTTTCTGATTTGTCAGTGACATTGAAACTACTGAAAGTACCTACATAATGTTGCTAACATCAACTACAGATTTATTGTATTTACAAGTTTTCTTTAAAGGGATCAATGGTATATATTCTAAATTTTTGTAAGGGATGTGTTGGGTTTTATTTTGCTAGCTATTTCTACATTAAATGTTCTGATCAGTCATTTTCTGTTAAAATTAGACTTTTATTAAGAATTTTCACGGTTTTTTATAAATAAGCATGTATTTTCTGCAATAAATTAATGGAATTGTTTGAAATTTTCATATGAAGATTTGAAATAAGAGATTATGTTAGTTATCTGTGACAGCTAATTTCTTTTATGTATCTGGCATTTAAAGGAAAGTAACAATCTGGCACACTAAAATTTGCTATAGTGAAATAGCAAAGATAACTTTTCTTTATGGAGTATATTTTAATATTGCAATGATAGTGAAACTTCTCGAAGTTTATATATGTACTTCATGAAGTTTGATTTCTCCTTCACAAGAATAAGAACTTTATCTTGAGTGCCCTTTTCAAATTGATTTGGTTTGTGAAATAATATACTTTTTTGGTATAAGTGTTCACAATCCATCTATAAAACCCCTGTGATGTTAATTTTGTAATCAATTAAAAATGTAATGCAATATTCAGATATAGATTGGCACATTTATGAAATGATGACAAGTTTGATCAGTGTACTGGTGTATTGTACATTATTTTTAGTTTTAGCTATTGTTGGGTCAGCCTGGAAACAACCAGTATCCCTTATTTGTGTATTATGATTAGGAAAAGACTGAGCTCTAATTTTACATTGATCTATCTGTTATTATGATAATTTGTTAGATATCAATGAATTTGCTACGTGATAGGGCTTATTTCCCCTCACTACGTTACTTGATGCTGTACAGTGAAAACTACTGAAATGTTACATCTTTCCGTTGTACATTTTGTAAGTAATATTGCTAGTGAAATGCATGCAAAATGCCTTTTGTGTGTTTGTCAATGAATATATTAACCATTGACTTGTAAAAATGTTATTTTTATGTTGTATTATTGTCAATAGCGCTTGTAAAAAGTTTTGCACAAATCTCGTATTATTTTAATGATATCGGTGACAAACTTAGATACATATTTTCTATATTGTTACGTAATCATTTTCATACCACATAATATAAACTATTGAGTTTGTACGTGCTATTATTGGAAAAATTTGTGGTTTTTATTTTTGATATTACTATAGAGCACCCAAGATAATTAAGCAGATTCACGTGATTTATTGATGAATAAGTTGATTAAAATGGATATTCAATGTATGTAGTAAAAGATACTCCAATCAGTAATGTAAATACCTAGCTTACAAAATTTATAATTACAAATATTTATCCATTTTCTGTTTTCATTTCTTTACACTTTGGCCCCTACAGATGTCCCCCTCTGTGGCTGATATTGTTTCCTCCAGATGCAGACACTGTGGTTTCAACCAGTCCCTCTATCCATCATGCCTTGTGTGGCTCGTTAGCTCATGTTGATCCTTGAATATACTTCATTGGTTAAGAGTAGCTTTTGAATCCATCCTGCTTGGTGCTGTAGCAGAAGGCAGTGAGGTCACACCCCCTATGGCTTTGATGTTGATGCCCACAGCCTCTACATCAAGTATGTGTTAAATCACTCACACAATTTACCAGGAAAGAGTTGGGAAATGAGAGTATTAAGGTTAAAGGGTAATACATGGTGAACTAGGAATACACGCATGTATACCAAACAAGGGATTCAAACTCGCAGCCTGGATGTAATGTGTACTTGGATGTGGATGCTCCCAGGACCTCAGGCCAATTAAAATTACAAATATTTTTCATAGCTTGTCATTTCATGTAAGATTGCATTTCAAGCAAATAATCGGATAGAAGACCTTTGTTATAAGTGAAAGCAAAAAGACATAAACATGAAGCCATTTTGATGGCTTCAGAAGAACACTATTCATTCTTCATTAAACCATTTCTAAAATAATTCACTACTTGAGATTGGAAATGGGTTGAAACTAAATTAATTTGAGAATGTGTAACTCAATACCTATGATTCTTAGAAAACAACTAAATGAAAACTTTTAGAAATAACACTAGAATTTAGAACCCTTAGCACATTCTTTTTTATCCAGATTAAAATGAGAAACTTCTGTAAATGATATAGTATAAATATTTATTTTGTAGGTTACTTCGTAGATTATTTACAATACAATTGTTTTACTTTCTCTTTTAAAATAAATCTCAGTTTGAAAATTCCTTCGTCTGTAATGTCAAAAATTCTGACAGAACATCTGAAACGTCATGAGAACCACCTTTGCTAAGTACACATGACACAGTATAGTACATGCTATGATAAAATCAGATAATCTGCATTAAAACTAATTCTACATTGGAATTTTCTGCCAATTTATTTTAATAGCATTGAGAAACCTAATTTATTCCCATAACATGGGTGACCATGCCACTAGCTGCCTACAGCCTCATGCCATTGGGTTCTATGTTTCACTTATGACTGGAGATCCTTTTGCAAGACCCTTTCTCTACATAATGATCTTCCATCAGTCCAAACTCTTTAAATTTACTTTTTCCTGCAAAAGTTCATTTCTCTCATTCAATTCCTTTGTGATCTTTCCTTTTTGGAAAAAAGACTATCTTGAACCCTTTGGAACATGAAATTCCACTTTTCTTATAACCACCTAGAGTTTAGGATATATGCTCTAGAATTTTTAAACAGTATCTGAGTGCTCTTCCTTTGTCATTCACACACATGTATTTTGGGTGCTCTAGTGTTTGTTGTGTGGTGGAGTAGTGGAGGATAAGCGTAACTACAACCTGGGTCCATGGAAATGCACCATTTCACAAATGTACATATTTGCATTCAAGGAAGGACTGGAATATTGGATGGAGAAATGTAACATTGCATGTATATTCTTAAATAGAGAGATAATCTGGGGGACTGTTCTCATGTTCATACCCTGTAAATTAATTATTCTGGCCAGTAGTTGGATGACAAGGCCAATTACTGTAAAAGTGACATGTTCCTAGTCTTAGATTCACTTTTTGCTGGTGTTCTTGGAGGGCTTGCACTTTAAAAGTAAGGGTAATTTGTTGTGTGCGTGAGTGTAAACAATTTTGAATGTCACAGTACTTGGTGTTATCTGCATGTTCTGAACACTAAACTTTTATATCGTTTGGCATGGGTATTCAAATGTTGCTACAAATCTAAAGGAAATCTTATACAAATAGTATTGCAAGCAGAGCTGTCTTAACCAATAGGCTTGCTGGGTGCAGGCAATGGGACCTGTAACTATGAAGGACCAGAGATATATTGAAAAATATTAAGCAAGAAAGAAAAAAAAACCCTCACTAGTAACATTAAATGCATGCAAATTTGTTTTGGAGTAAAAGATAATATTTATTTTTTAATATTTTGTTGCTATAATTTTTGGAACTATGGAATAGTTTTGGTTCTAAGAAC